ATTATCCTATTCGCTAAACAGTCGATCATTGCTCGACGGCTAAAAACGTTTACAAAGCCCGTTTATTCGCACGAATTATTGGCACGCGTGGAAACGAATGTGAATATGATTTGAGGTTAGAAAGCTTGTGGGCCGTTGACCGAACTAGATTCAAAAATACACAAGTCCGTTTTAAGCTCGTTTTCGAGTGACAATTTGATCGTTTTCGGCGAGAGTCGTGCTGTATGAGTAAAAATCCACGAAGCGGAATGTATGTTTCGAAATTGTCCCATTATACAGCTCAAACGAAAAGACTGACGAAGTTGAAAATTTTTATTTCTACATTGTACAACGTTATTCTTTCTACTCATAATAAATAATAGGAAGATGCAAATAATTTGTAAAAATTAGGACTATTAAAAATTAATTCTGCAATTATACCTGAAACCCCTTTTACATGATATTTTTTTACTTTTAATACAGTAGAGTATGTTTAATATACAATAGTTATGTTTTATACTTTCTTACCAATTATTTTTTATTTTTTTAATTAATTAATTTTTTTAATTTCTTTATTTAATACTGTATATTTTCACCGTGTATAAAGAAGCCCAAGTGTATCTTACGTTATTTTACCTATCAATGAATTTGTTGCAAATTTTATTTCATATAAATTTGCAATTTAATATGTTTCTTAATTTTTATAAATACCCGATATTTTTCTAATTATGCATAAAAACACGTTAAATATTTATGAAAAATAAAAATAGAGGTTCGTATACTTATGGAAGAAATAATTGTGATTATGTCACAATTAAATTACTATCATTAAACGAAAAGAAATAATTTGATCATTCGTATTTTGAAGTTTTTCCAAGATAAAGTAACATTAATATTGACTCGTTACGTTATACTCCTTTCAAAGGAATCTTACGTTTGAAACTATCAAATTACTTATCCTAATTATTTCCACAATTTCTACTTCGTTTTCTTCAGAAATTACGATGTCAAATACACGGTCCTGAATTTTCAAGGAAAACCGTAAGTTAAACATCAAACATTAAGCATCTAGTTACGTCCCAGAGGAAAGCATATTTTTCTGGCAGTTTTAACGAGTTCAAGGAAGATCCGGCTGAATGTTGATTTTTTCAGACCGAAAACATGCAGTTATCTCATCGAGTGCACTTCATTAAGTAAAACGGACTTGTCGAGTTTTGCAATCTGCGGTGCAACAGCGAATGATTACACGCTGAAATAGTGATCAGAGATAATTCTGTTACTCTAACAGATAGTTAACTGTACACTTAACGTCGATTACGTTTACCAAATAAAAGGCAATGTTAATCAGCCATCTCTAAATCATGCGTGAAAATTGTTTTCTTACGTGCGTCCATCACGAGGTTGAAAGAGAACCGAAGAGTTTTTGTACAGAAACGAAAAGAAAATGGATTATTCTGCTAAGACTATGTTATAGCAAGATATTTCCTAGAGAAATCAGACGTTGATTTTTCGCGTGAATAATTTCTACGTATACAACGAAGATAAATGCTAGGAAAAATTAAATATCAACTTTGTAAATAATAAATTACAATAAGTCCTAGATATAAATTTCTAAAATAATTTTATACTTTATTCTAGTAATTTTCCTTTCTTTTTTTCTGCTTTTTTCTTTTCTTTTTTTTCAATTGTTAAGAAAGTTATTAGAGATAGTGAAATCGATATCTTTATTACGATTGGGTGTGAAAATCTTTTACTCCCGAGAGTAACCAATGTTTACAGCGTTACTTAATTATTCGTTATTACCTTAATTATTCCGTAATTATTAAGACGTAACAAATTTGTCGCGCTTATCACAATGTAGAAGTTGTTCCATTTTTTCTTTCCTGTTTTCCTATAAAAATAGAGAAATTTTGAAAAAATTGTTTCCTCCGGAATTCCCTTTACTCGTAAAAATTTTTTATCACGATGCATTTCGTATTTTTGAAATCCTCTATCCTTTGTAAAATACGATCCTATTAATTTTTGGCATTTCCTCTTTTCTTCCGCCGAAAAAATTGTATTTTATAAAAATAAATAAATTTCAATATCGGAAATACCGCTTTTAAACGAACATGAAGCTTTGAACTTTAAATCCAAGAACTTTAAGTCCAATGATGAATCTTTTGTACTCTTATTTTAAATGTTACTGAAGCCACGTTGAAATAATTACGAAGGGAAAAGAAAAATAATTGAAGTGCCACGTTTAACATGATATTTGAGCAAATGCGTGTAATGAAGAAATTATTTTACAATCGTAATTTCCTATGAAACCTGTTCGATCAGAAATACTCGTTTTGAGCTCACTTCTTTAATTCTTAAAAACTGTTACAAAAATTAGAAATAATTAGCAGGATACAACTAGCATACTGCTAATCACTATACGAGAGATATCGATTTTTAAATACCAATACAAATACATATACATATATATATATTATTCAAATTTTCTAATTTTCTAATTTGTTTCAACATTTCATATTTTATTATAAAAATGATTCCGCAGTAAGGAGAGACTGAAATAAATATCTCAGGACTAAATACTAAAAGGTTGCAAGCAAAGGAAACACAGTGCAAATAAAATTTGTCATTTTCACTGTGCGAGAATAATGATATAAAGAAAATCGTGATATATAATACATTAAAGAAAAAGACTGTACAAAATGTTATTTTTATTTTGCCTCAACGCGAATAATGTCCCTAGAAACAACCCTAAGACTAGAAAGAGTCATTCATAAACGACTAGAAGAACGAAATGATCTCGAACTAGATTTCCTCTTCAGAAAAAGCTAATCTACTAAATAATTTGCTACCTCCTTCACCGATCCAGAGCTTATAGTAACTCGGCGAATTATTGCAGAGAAAACTATACATCGTTTCTGTCGTGTGAGCAGAGAAATGCTTTTCAACGTTTTCATCCCCATTAATGAGATTCTAATTCCACAGGGGGTGAAAAAGCTCGTCGAACATATAACGAAAGTGCTGCTAAAATGATCGATAAGTACCGATAAATATAAAAAAAGAACATTATTATTTTATAAAAATGAAATAAAATAATATGACAAAATTATAGAAGAAAATATACTGTATTAATTATATCGTATACAAATAAATGTGACTCTTACTTGTCACAACGAAAGATAATCACATAATATTTAAGAAACAATGATTTTTCATTATATCTCAATAAAATAACTATAACTTATTTCATATATTATACTGAAAATAATTTAACAGAATTTGAAATAAATTAACAGAATTTTGCGAAAGCACACAGGAAAATGAAACGATCAAAGACACAGGTAAACGTCTAGAAGTGATTTCAATGCATGCAATGCACTAACTTTCAGTAGTAGATTTATCTGAATAATACGAGATATTAAGACTGTTCTCAAATGAGCCCTTCGCTGCACAAATCGATTAATTCCACTTTTTGAGAAATCTTAAATTTAAGTGTCAAAGCACTTGGTATAGTCATAACTTTTTATATTTAAGATTTTTCAAAAAGTGGAGTTAGTCGATTCAAATGCAGCGAGCATAAATAATAATGAATAGAAAAATTAATATTGTCAGATCAACAATAGTGTTATTAACAACAAGAACACTGTCCTTAAACAACAATGCTTAGCATTAGAATCCCCAAATCACTCGCATATCACTGAGTGTCACTGTTCGATGAACTTGGATTTAGTAAAAATCTGAAAAGGTCTCCGTTTCGTCAGGTCATGTTACGTATAATAAGTGACATCTTTGTATAACGACAGGAAACAATGTATACACGTTTTAACGTGAAGAGTCGCGAGTATTGGAGCTCCATCCTTAGTCTGTGTTCTAATCTGTACGAAGTAAGACGTTTTATAAATTCAATATTTAATATTAAAATGATTGCATTCGACCTACTGTTCGCCTAAATTACTCCAGACCCAGTCAGTATTAACCCCCATTCTCCAAAATATTAACCAACGCTCATCCTGACACCTCTAGACCCCACTGATACCACTTGGGTCATCACAGTGACCACAAGCTCGCTTGGGTTACTCCATTTTGGAACTTCTGTTACTAATCTGCATCCCAAACCTCACTCAACAGAGGAGATTAATGATATTCGTACTTCCAAAGCATAGAGTACGAAATATACTTAAACAACCTACCCTATTCTGTCATAGTCACTTGAGTCAACTAGGTCGGCTGAGGATTAACACTAACAAGGAGAGTGCAAGTTCTTAGGGTCATAGATTTAGCTGAAACTCTGCAGGTTTGTAGATTTGGTCATCCAGTTCAAGAAAATGTACCATTATAAGGGCACTACTCGATAGTTTATGAGATATTTACGATTAAAGCTTTATTATTCTTAACCACTTCGGTACGAGCATCGACTATAGTCTTTATATAGACTTTAGGTGACGGTCAAGCACTTTTACTTTGGTTCTGCGTTCAATTTTCTAATTTCTCATTTATCAAAATAAAATTGTGAACATTTAGAAATATCGTGATAGAAACATATGCTCTGTTGATTTGCATTGCAAGTAAAGCTGCCTGTAATGTAAGCAAGCTTTCAGTGCTTCAAAGATTTCCTCATCACAGATCTGTAAAAGAGCAAGACGGATTCGTCGTCGATGCACAGCACAATGTATCGTGCACACTATGAGTGCTGGCTGTGGGCAAGGTTTCGTGGCTGGTAAGTGGTTAACTAGAGATTTCTTTCGAATAGTTATCGATAGTTATCAAGTGGCATTGTGGCCTAACAGCGAAATCCGAAAATTGCTACCGGCATGAGAATTTTCGGATATCGCCATTAGGCCACGACAGCATTTGATAAATATTCGAAATAAATCTGTAATTAAGGCAATAATAAAACTCTGGTCATAAATATCTCGAAAACTATCGAGTAGTTGCCCTTATAATGACATATTTTCCTGAACTGGATGACTAAAACTACAAACCTGCAAAGTTTCCACTAAATCTAGGACTCGAAGGACTTGCACTCTCCTTGTAAGCAGGAGTGCACGTGTACAGAAGTTTCGTGTGTACTTCACATTCGGTACGAGGAATATATTTATCAAGTTGTGGAAGACTCACGGATCGACAATTGTTAGCAGCACTGTCAACTCTAGTGGCAACTTTCTCTGCAATGATCGCTTTCTGCAAAAAACCCTTCGATTGTTAAAATCGATATATCGAAACGTGACGCGTAAAAATTTCAGCTTCTCTCTTCAGTCTCTTCAATCCAATCTGATTTAACCGTATCGGAATAATTGTCTACGGGGTGTATTCGGTATAAACACGTGGAGTACCAGCCTCGAGACACGCGGGACAGCTCTTCAACGATGGACGTACCTAACAACAATTTTCTCCCAAACTCTTCCCGAGCTTTCGAACGGAATAGAAATAATGGTCCTGCGGTTAACTACGTCCACGATGTTCGTCGCTCGAAACGAAGAAATCTGAAGAAACTTAAGCGGACTAATCGAACCCAAACTGGAACGGTTATGGATCAGTCGAGTCCTTCAGCAGGCGGACCAACGGATTCAGCTTACCGTCATTCGAATTTTTGTACTCCTCCAACAGCTGTGAAATAGAACGTCCATTTCATTTCTTTATATATCTATCCTCCATCAATTATATTTTCCATTATAATTCATTCCATTAATTATATTACCTACCACTTGAAAAATATTTAAAACTAAATTGGTGCAAAAAGTGGTCATTTTTATTTAACATTCTGATATTCTGTCAACGATCAATTTCACATTCTGTCAATTCAACAATAACAAGGAAAAGAGAAAAAATATATATATATTTTTCTTATCATTTTTATTCAACATTCTAACATTCTGTCAATGACCAACTTCACGTTCTGTCAATTCAACAACAACAAAGAAAGGAAAAAAAATATATATATTAATTGATTAATCCTTTCTTTGTTGTTGTTGAATTGACAGAATGTGAAGTTGGACATTGACAGGCTGCTGAATAAAAATGATCACTTTTTGCACTAATTTAATTTAAAATATTTGTCAAGTGGTACGTAATATAATTAATGGAATTAATTATAATGGAAAATATAATTGATGGAAAATTTGATTGAAATGTAGACTGAAAACATTGGTGTATCCTTGAATAAAATATTGATGACTTACTTATTAGTGTACAAAAATAAAATATATTATTGAAAAGTATTTGAAGATAAGTGTAATATATATTGAATTTAGAAATTTATTAATTATGTATTAATTAAATCAGTTCTGTTTCTATGGAACAAAAAGAAATTCTGTGATTGGAAATTCTGTGTTCAAATTGGTAAGCCTTAAGTGTCCAAATACTTTTCACACAGAGAAGACTACAAATTAATTCCCAAAGAATGGAACCAATTAGAAACTAGCTTCGTGAATGAAATCACGAGGAAATAATTATTCGCGAGTAAAATGTCAGAAAAGAAGATTATTTATGAAATGACTGACTTACTTGATAAGATAATTCGCAGGACAGAATTGCAGTGGCCTCTGGATTCTGATGGGTGGTCGTCGGGAAAATGTACGACGTTAACTCTGGGGCCCCATAGAACGGAAACGGAAGAGTACACAGTTGCTGAAGAACGCTTTGTCCGGATCCAGCCGATTGGAGTACCAACTGTAACAGTAATAATAATACAAAATTTATTTAATTCTCTTAAACTCTGTCTCTCGTGCAACTTCAAACTTTCATTACATATCCATGTATATAGAGATTCTATTTTAGCACCTAAACTTGCTCCTAAATTAGCTTTCGATTATTTAATTTACTGAAAACACGTAATCACTGTCGACAAAATTAATTTTGACTTTAAGTCAGGTAGAAACATAATTACATCTATAATTATAATTATCGTTATCATTCATGTATATTTAAGAAATATTAATAAAAATTATTAGGTATATATATTAATAAAAATTATTATATACACGGTGTTTAAAAAGCAGGGTCCAATCCTAAAGAATTCGTCATAATATGTCAATTACATTAATTAGACATCTTTTAATCCTCTCAGAAACTATTATAAGTGATCTACATACTAGACAACTACCATAAGTGCCACATCACTACCATAAGAGTCACCATTTCATAAAATTTTGAAGATCGATATTAATTAATATATCAAATTTAATGTAATGTGACAGTGTGCGAAGTATCGAAATCAAATAATTCTACAATTCTGTTATTATACAATTCTTTATTTACTGCTGAAAAAAGTATCGTCAGTTTTTTAATACAGAATCTTTGAATTTTTACTCTTCTCTAGTCAAAAAATCGTCGAGTGAAAAGGGCTAAACACCCTGTATAGCCATATTAATCAAGGAAAATTCTGAACTTGCCTTTGGAAACACATTCGTGATCCATCTCATCATCAGAGGTTCCTAAAATTGTCCTACACAATGTACCAAAATGGAGTAAAATATAATAAAAATAGAAAATCTTCCTAAAAAGAAACAATGGAATTCGCGAACATTGAACCAGAAATATGAAATGAAGCTGATATGGAAGAGAATTTTGAACGAGCAAATTGTCCGTCGCAGGATTTGCTTTCAATTGCAAAACACCCACATGAAGGAGCTAGCAGGTAGGTTCCCGGTCGTTACGGAACGAAGATGGTTAATTAAGACAGCTTAAGCGCGCCGCGGAGTCATTAATTTCCTTAAACATCGTGGGAAACGATGCACCTATAATCCAGGTGTCGGGAAGCAGCAAGTTCGAGTAACAAGAAAACGTCCCGGTACATCTGCGGTTCAACAAGTGTCCTCGAGCAGGTTCGTGCACCTGTGGAAAAGTCTCCTGCAGGAAGTACCCACATTACGAATTTTTATTCCCTCGTCTATTACCCTCATCGTGTATCGCCTGTCTTCTGTAATGCTTCGTCGATTCGCCAAGTGTTCTTCCTCATCTCACGAATCCGTTATCGCGAGTTTTAAGGAGATCATTGGAGAGTCTACTTTTTGGGTAGCTTCGGGGGAGAGATTGGATGGGTGAAGGATTTCCAAAGCGACTGAGGTATAGTGTTCAGAAATATTGTTAATCTTTTTAGCGTCGATGTCTATCATACAATGTATTTGGAATTGGATCTAAAATGTTTCCTGAATTTTTGCTCCTAATTCGTTTTTAGGTTACCAAAACGACTGAGGTATAGTGTTCAGAAGTATTATTTTTAATATTTTTAGTGTCGATGTCTATCGTACAGTGTATTTGAGATTGAATCTAAAATATTTCCTGAATTTTTGCTTTTAAATTTGCTTTTAAATTAACAAAGCAGCTGAGGTATAGTGTTCAGAAATATTGTTAATCTTTTTAACGTCGATGTCTATCATTCGTTGTCTTTGGAATTAGATCTAAAATGTTTGCAGAATTTTGCTCCTAAATTTGCTTTTAAATTAGCAAAGTAAAGCAACTGAAGTGTAGTGTTCTGAAGTATTGTTTTCAATATGTTTAGAGTCGATGTCTATCATTCGCTATCTTTGGAATTAGATCTAGAATGATTCCAGAATTTTTGCTTTTATATTTGCTTTTAAGTTAGCAAAGTAAAGCAACTGAGGTATAGTGTTCACAAGTATTATTTTTAATATTTTTAGCGTCGACGTCTATCATACAATGTATTTGGAATTGCAACTAAAATGTTTCCTGAATTTTTGCTCCTAATTCGTTTTTAGGTTACCAAAACGACTGAGGTATAATGTTCAGAAGTATTGTTTTTAATATTTTTAGTGTCGATGTCTATCGTACAGTCTATTTGGGATTAAAATGTTTCCTGAATTTTTGCTTTTAAATTTGCTTTTAAATTAACAAAGCAGCTGAGGTATAGTGTTCAGAAATATTGTTTTTAATATTTTTAGTGTCGATGTCTATCGTACAGTCTATTTGGGATTAAAATGTTTCCTGAATTTTTGCTTTTAAATCTGAATAAATATTATTGATACAACCCCTAATATGACACAGTGAAAGTTTGTCTATGATATATTTTTATTTTTGCAATTATGAGTTTAAAATTGGAATCTTTGGCTAATATAACATCCACATTTCAATATTTCTTCTTTTCAGTAAATATAATAAACATTGGAAAATTTTACATATATAATAAATAAATAATCTTATGAAACGATATAGCTTCACACTTAATTTATTGATCAAATTAATTCAAATTACCTCTGGTATAGAATTGAGATTGAAAATTATCAAGATGGAAAGGAGTTACTTAATTTTTGGGACGAATATTGGATAAATAAATTATTAAGAACGGGGACATCGCAATGCATGTACATACTTTACGAATTCGTGCAAGGTGCACTAAAAGGAGCATTAATCGTAAAAATAAACAACTGTATAAGTATCTCTCGAGATTTTTAATTTAACATTATGTAAAGTGAAAGGCACTCTGTATCGATAAATTATGCGGTACACCATAGTAAAGCTTTTTCCTTAGTGTATCATTTTCTGCGTTATTTTAAGATCGTTTTTACGCGACATAAAACCGCCTAGTAGATTTACGACGATCATGGATCTTACGTATATTTTTATCGTATTTAAAACGCTTCCGAGCTGATTAACTACTCTAACAAATACAGAAATCTTCGCTGGAAAATTCGCGCTAATGCAAAGGGGGTCTTCGAAAATTGAAATTAAGGATATTAATATTATTTGAACAAAATATATCTTATTCGATATCGATTAGAATATCAAATATTAAATAGTATTAAGTAGAATATATTTTTTCGTAAAATTAAAAAATAAATAAATAATAAATTTAATAATAAATAATAAAATGGAAAATATAATGGAAAACTTTGGACATTTGAAAGAATAATTATTGTATCATTAATTGCTAATCAGTATGTACCTAATTTACGAAGATCACGTATGCTACGTTGAAACTACTACTTGGAAAATTATTAAACATCCTGACATACAAAAAGTTTTGAAAATGTATATAATAAATAATTTAAATATGAATTCTTTGGTACCCTTAACACTAGAACTATCAAGAGAGCCAAAATTTTGTATTATTATATAATTTATGAACACTTAATATTAATCTGCACACGTTAAAATTATTTTGTGAAATTATTTTCATCATACTACTTCAATTATTATCATTTATATACAGTATATTTATTTTATTATATATGTTAATATTTTCAGGAATTAAAAATTAAAATCCCTGAAAATCATCATAAAAATCACCATGAAAATTAGACATCTTCAGCAGATCTGATAATTATACTGCATACACGATTCACAGAGTCAGGGATCCTAAGAATTGTCCACCATCTTACTTCCACATTTTTACCTGATATTTCGAAGAGACGACTAAAAATAGAGCCTCCTAAGCAGAACAATTAGGCCGACGATAGGCAAAGGATGTCACGTGGAAAAGCTGGAGGAGCATTTTGAACCGGGTCTAATCTTAGCTGGCCGCTGCTTCACGATATCCTTCAGCATAGATCGAATGCCTCTAGTGATTTCTGAGGGGCCGATATCTCGAAAAATGGGGCTCGATAGTCGCGCAGAAAGAAAGGACGTCGCGACGTTCCCGAAGGCGCCAGACCGTCAGATATTTTCACGTGCTGCCTGTCCCGTGACTGGAAATATCTCGATGAATACCCGGGAAAAACGTCTACCCGAAGATCTGCCTATGAATACGTCTACTTTTCCTAAAGAATTCATGTTACACAACTCTTATTTATCCCCATCGAAATCAAGTGCATTCCGAGTACATTGACAAGAATTATCGATGACTAATTTGTTATAATAGTAACAATTTCAAGGCAGTTCTTTCAGTAATGTACTGCATAAATGATTATTAATGTAAAATATCAGAAATTCACGAAAGTATCTTGGAATGTATAGTAAAAGATATCACAAAAGGGCTAAAAATTGCAGAAAATGCTGTTGAATTCTGGGAAACTCGTGATAATCGAGTTTTTATTATGTGCTTAATTGTGTATTTAGTTGTTGTGAAGAGAAAACAATGAATAAATAGGATAGAAATAGAAGAAAAATGATAACTAGTGGCTATAACAGCTGAAAGAATGCGTAGTGATTTAAAATTCCCGCCATGTGGCGCCACTATAGCGGTCAAGCGATAACTCCACAATCTAGGTATGTAACGGGACTGAACTTAACAAGATATGTCAATTTCACTTACAAAAACTGATAATTGAAGGTTAATTGAAACTTGATGTACAGCACTTTAGACAAAGTACAATGAAAGATTGCTTGAAAAAGTGTGTCAAACTTTTATACAACAATTAAACTATAGTATTAAACTTATTAGTGATTAATAATCCATTAATATAATAAATAACAAAATACCACGAATTATTCTACATATATTTGTGTATTTCCATGAATTTCATTGTGTAGCATTAAAAATTAGGCTTTTAGTCCAATTGCTACGTCCCTGTCTTTACTACTGTTAAAAATGCGCCCATAATCAATAGTATGTATAGTAAACAGTAAAATAGAATCTACTATACATTTTATTTTAATTATATTTTTATTAGTAGGACTCTTTTATTTAACAATAATCCTTCAGTTTACTTGATGTAATAATGTGTTTATTTTTGTTTCTATAAGAAAATGGAGCTCCTATAATTTGCAGTGGGTATAGTAAATACTAAAATATAGTATATAATATGAGATTTCATTTTAATTATACTATTATTATGATTTAATGGATATCATTGCTTAAAGTTAACGTTTCAGTCTATTTGCCATAGTGACTTCGTGTTCTTATAATAAAATGGCGCCTATGCAACGTCAGTCGAAACGATGCACGTGACCAATGTTTGCTTTTCTGAAAAACTTCATTCACATGCGAGGTAGCAGGGGTTCCACTCGTTCAATTGAAAAACAACAATTTTTGTTTTAAAAGTACGATGACGTGGCAAAGCCTTGGTGATTTAATTTGCTGTCTAGGGTTAAGTTCGAATTAAGTATTTCGCTGTGTAACGAGATTAGGGGATCAACTATAGGTAAACATGGATACGAGAAAAATTAGAGACCACATTATACCGTTTTCTAAAATTTAATCATCCGCATGTCGATATTAAATTTGAAAATGTGAAAAAATTTGAAAGAGACCCGAAATCCTTTATATTATGTATTATAAATTATAATTGCAAATTGATATTTTAATTAAATACCACCGAGCAATAAACAAGCTTCGTGTCGTTAAATTCTTGAGATTTGGAAATAAGAAAAAGTAGGTGCTAAGAGTCAACTGCTTGGCTGACTTAAATCCGTAGCCGTTTGAATAATTATAGACGTGTAAACCCACAACGAACAGTCTTGAAAGTTACATACGCGTGTTTGTCGTGTGTCCACGAACTTGGCAATAAAACTATCGAAACAGGCAGAAATAAATTGCGCTGACTACAGGAATATTCCCGGAGAATTCAGAGGAGACGATTAGCTGATGTCTCACGATCGAGTGACAGCTTGTTTGCGTCCGAAATAGTGGATGTTGAATCATAACGTCGTAGATCGGCAATACATTCTCAAATTTTGGAATTTCTAAAATTCATAGTCCAAATCACATTTCTTGATTTTGAAACCTAATATTTCAACTTCGAAATTTCAATCGGTATACTTAAATGAAATTTTCTTACTTGGGTGTACAATCAAATAGTAAGATCAAAAATTGATAAATCTCAAAGATTTATAACAAAAATATTTGTTATATATACGAGTTCCTATGATCATCCATATTTCTATTCTTGGAATGCAAGAACGAAAAGAATCAGTTCATATTATAGTATATAGGGTCATTTATATACAACAAAATTCATTAAATTTGTTATATAATAAATATTGTCACTTTACATATAATAAATATTTAATAAGGTCTATAAATATGTATTAAATTGAAGTAGTAAATACCAGTTATCCAGCATCATCCTTAAAGACAGATAACAGCGCCATCTCGCCAAAATTCCTATCTTCCTAACCTCAATTTCCAAGATCCTAAAACTTAACATATTTCTATATTATCAATATAAACTCAACTATAATGCTACGCTACTAATTTACCGTGACACGTTATTCCTAACCTCGCAATAAAATAGAAGAATAAAATTCTTCTCCATTACAATTTTACCCATGGGTATTGTCCTTGCATAGCACCCCACAATAACCCTGCACATATATCGCCATAGTCGAAGGGGTTAAATCCGTAACGACGTGAAAATAGAGGTAGATTAATCGAAAATCAAGAAAAGGAGGAGCACACTGCTAACTTAAGGCTCCATTCAAGAAGCATCTCGCTCAAAGCGTTCACAGGGTGTCCATATAATCAACTCATCGAACATCAGCGCCATCTTCAATGAACCTCGTTACTTAACCCACCTAACACGAAACATCTGTCGAATAAACAACAAAACAAATTCGTTCTCAAAATCAATTTAAATTTTCCCCCGAACATTACTACAAAGCTGAAACAGCCACGCCGTCCCGATAAAGCAAAGAACCATTCATTTACACGAAACAAAATAACCGCGAACACCTCGACAAATCTACCACTCCCAATAAATTCGAGGCTGCGATTTATCGACGAAAATATCGATCGGTAACGTAGGGAGTATTTATCGACGATCCGCGCACTGCGGCGGCCGCGAGAACCTAACCTAACCAGCCCGTACAGTCGCCATCCATCAATCGACCGAACGAGCTATCGAGTCACCCGGTACGTTCGCGTGAAATGCGCCGCGAAGAAGGAAGAAGCTGTTAGACACAACACACTCAGCGGACCTCCCATCAATATACGAGCGAACGCAGTTAAGATATATTTACTCGGTTCCATTCCATACGTCAGCCGCGTGCAGGCGCACGATGCGCCGGCTAGGAGGGTGCATCAATCCAGCGCGTGCATCGGGATGTGTAGCGTTGAGTGCACCGACGACGTCGCGCATTCGTCTTTCGCCGCCTTTTTTAAGGAGGCCCGGTGCTCTACCCCGCCGAAAGTGCATCCGATACGGGACGGGGAAACTGGCGGAAAAACGCTTTTAACCTTTAACTGCCGGCCGATTCGGCCGGTGAATTGTGAGGGGACAGTGGGTGGAGGGGGAAACTACGGAACGACGGTTCCGTTACACGATTTATGCGTGTTACCAGACTCGTCTCGCGTGACACGGGGATGCCGGTAGAGGCGCTGCGGTCGCGGGATTTTCGAAGACTTCTCGCCCGTGTTTGGGGACTAAGGATTTAATACAGGTTCGCGTATTGTAAAATATAATTTATCGCGATATTAATATGAGTTTTATGTTTACGTAAATAGCAAATATTCTTATTTCAGGTACACGTGTGTTTTTAATATAGGTTCGAAAGTATTATCCCTGATAAATACCGTCAGATAAATTATACATTACAGTTCACTGTTTGCAGTAATGGTAGTACCAAAGAATACTCGTTTACACAGTTTCTAATTTCGTTTTCATTATCGCTTGAAACTGTACAAGCGATATATAAAGCACACTAACTTTCTAAGTTTAGTTTACACACTCGGTGGAATCGAAATAACTATCAATGAATAGACAAGTACAACGAAGTTTCTGAGGATATATTCCTATGATGGAAATGAATAGGAATATAAAGAGTATTTCCCAAATACAGATTAACGTTTCATTCAGCAAGTCTCGTGGACGGTATAAATAAAGTATGAATCTTCGTTCCAAAATGATTATTCAAATTAATTTTAAAATAGTTTAAAATACACCATCTTATGGAGGTCAAGCATGCCCGAATATTCAATGCTCAAGAGCTATATTTTAGGTAACAACTTGGCTACAATCCATAACGTTCTAATAGACTATCACATATTTCATGTAACACGTTAAGAAATATATCGTTGAAATTATTTAGGATAACGATGACTTTAATTTCGGAGATTAAACCAATGAAAACTTCAGGAACATCACCAAGGAATTATGGGGCTCGTTTGAAAATGATTGACATTATGACGTTTAGAAGTATGCTGAAATATTGGACACAAAAGAACTGTTCAAGAGAAACACTTGATTTGATAAATTAAGTTATTTAATAATTTTCTAACAATTTTTTTGAAGAAAATTATTTAGGATATATTGCATTTGCTTTGTACATGATAAAACACTTGATTGATTATCAATGACTGACTACAAAATGATTCTATCAACTGAGTTAGACTTATTCCTATTTCTAGTGAAATTAGACTAGAGTTACAGAGTAAAATTCCCTATAATTAACAAGAACTCTAACTTTGTGACTCTATATTTTTAAAAGTTTAACAATGCAAATGCATTCTTTTGAAAAATCAATATATACAAAATAGTTATGTAATCCCATTGGAAACAAAAGTGGCATCATAAGATGACACAAATGGTTCAATGGAACAAAATTTTCCTTCATAACCTCTTTCTCTAATTGTACTTTGAACAGAGATTTAGGTTAGTGCAATTACTAAAATCATATAGCAAGAAAAATAGAATAATGCAAAAATAATTTACAGTATTTGAATGGTTAACCTTAGAAAGGATGCACTTACCTGGTTTTCTGGGTTGTTAACTGCAAAATATCCCAGAATCTGGAACAGCTCTGACAGGATGTAAGTACCACTAGTGTCATGCGCAATTTCCGACTTGTGCGATATTGGATCTCGTGATAATCGGGTTATCACATGACTAGCTATCAGTCGCCATTGCAAGCTGGTGCCTTCTGCTCCTAGGAGATTCTGAAATCAAAAGGTTTACATTTTCACAACGCGTGTTACAATAAAATGAATCACTTAAGACCTTAGAATTTCTCCTTTTAGCAAAAATAGATTTTATGCAAAAAGACATACATCAAGATAAACATTTTTCAGATATTAACAAAATATTAAGAATAATTTACAAAATTATTAACTTTATAATATAACACACCATTTATTTCAATTTTCTCACAATACTAATATCACTAACTAAAACAAAAATACACCTATCAAGTATATAATACTTATTTACAAAATTTGCAATTTTACCCAAAATCAAATTCTCCTAGAATCCTATTATAATTACCCAGAGTTGAATTTACATGCATAAACAAATCCCTAAATTCGGTTATTCCTTTCTAAAGCACCTAGTCTATAAGACAATCTATCTCATCTTCATCTAACTCTTCGACCTAATCCAAAATTTCTTTCTCAAAATCTGCCAACCTCTGATCTCCAAACTAATTAAACAATTAGAAAATTACTACACCTCGATGCTGCACACAAATCTCGAAATATGACAATAATCCTTCGTCTATGGTCTCTATTCAACGGTTAGGGTCCCTTGGAACAAGAGGCCCGCAACAAGAGACAGATTCCCGTGGAGATTAAAGAACAGCCAGAGCTCGTTGTCAGGAAGTCAAAGAGAATAGATAATAAACGTTGGTTTTTCGGCAAACGCCGGCTGCATGGACCGCAAGGATAATCGACGGTGCCCCATGAGACTCAGCGGGCTATCCCGCGGGACACGGGATAGCCCTTATGGTTTTTGCGGACGGGGGCGCGAGCTTTCGATTCAATTCGTGGTTTGATCATTGCAGACTTCACGGGTGGGCTTTCTATCTTGACAGCCGGGCCCCTGTGACACATGATACATCTCTATTGCACTTTCGACGGTGCTCGACCTAATAAGGAGGACCAACGATGCTTGGGACAGGAACAATAGAAGCTTGCCTCTTAGAACAAATTTTGAAATTTTCTGTTTATAGAAAATGGAAGACGACCTCACGCTTTGTTAATATTAACGTTGCGCTTTTTAATATTTTCTTTTTTGAAAATATTCCAGTGTCTTTGGGTCCGAGAATAGTGATTCTCGGTCAGTATACTGCAAGAATTTTTGGAGACTTTGAGATAACTATTATTTCTATTCTTTCTCTTTTCCTTGTTGTGTCAGGAAAAAATATTGTGTACTTCTTGGCACACATGCAAGTTTAGATCAAAATCATAATTATAGAGTAATAGTATTGGTTTGTGTAAAATATGTATGTTGAAAGTAGACTGGAACTTTCAGTTTCGGATGAAAACTGTCACGATAAAGGTTTCATTTGATACACGAGACAAAGTGAAGGAGTTAATTGAGGAACCTTTGTCCTTTCCCCTACATCAAACGCCAGTCCTGTTAATTAATTGAATGTCGCGTGCTATTGATTAGGGAAACAGGTGAAGTTATACTCGCTTTCTAACACTTGACTGATCTTTCTTCGTTTTTCAAATAAAAGAAGTAATTCTTTTCGAAAGAATATTCGATTAATTCCCATAATCTACATTATCAGAACTACAGTATTTTTAAAACCAATATTTACACTATATTTAACATACAAATTTCGTGTATGCCAATAAATATGTAGGTTAACACGTTGACTATCATGCATATTTCATACGGTATACTCAGTACTCAGTATCATGATGAAATTTCTATTATTCTTAAGATATAACGACGAATTACCAAACTGAATAACGAAAAGTGAAAAGAAAATTAGCAGTTAAAATTAAAAATAGAAAAATTTTTAAATAAGAAGAAAAAGCAAGTTATTAATGTTTTTTAACTATTTACGTTTTCAAAATTTCTAAGAAATGGTTAAAATAAAAATTAGTATAGTCAGTCACTGGGGACCATGATGGCCCAACTGAAGAAGATAAGCGCTGAAGTTACTTTTGATCACAGTCAATGTGTTAAGTATTAATAATTAAATACTAGACCTAATCTCACCTGCAATTTCTGGATATTCAATCCAGCGATCGACTTGAACAGCCTGAGGCTGCGAACGATCAAAATCCTAGTAAACGTCGAAGTCTGGACTGGGGTCGGCGAGGATCCCTTCTGATTCTGCGGCTTCAGTGCAACTGCGGCGTAAAGCGCGCCAATCGCGCCAGCAGCTTCCGTTGAGGACAAGGTCGAGAGAAGATGAGACTCGACGCTGGTCTGCTCCACGTTATTGTTGCTCTCGTGAATGGTTCCGATGATTTCTTGGTTGGACGACTTCTTCAGGTGGCAGCAGACTCGGTAAAGCAGATCGTACGAAGACAGCAGAACTGGCGATTCGTAATCCAGGTCCACGATGATGTCCGTCTCGATCAAAGCTCGACTGTGACGGAACACTCGATCCACCAACCCACCTGCCACCAAGTACCTGAAACACGACGAAACACGAACGACGTTAATAGCTATTATTGCTTTATCGTTTAAGTTCTGATGGCGCGTGTCATAGTCAATGGCAAGGTTGGTCATAGGTCGAATTTGTGAAAACACTGCGAAGAATAGCAGGCAATTGAGATAGGAAAACGTCTGAAAGACAGGAAAATTCAACAGGAGTACGACTCGTGTTGTTTACATTGGGTCCTACCTACGAAGTACGTCTCTCATCCATAATACTAATGTTTGATCCAATTTCCTTACCACGAATCTCACAGGATATTGTAGCCAAAGGGTTAACATTAATTAAAACGAAGAAAAGGAATTTTTGCCTGTTATACTAATAATATAGTGCGTGTAATTTTTATTAAAACAAATTATTTTTCCAAAATTTTAATTACTTGGGTGATTTTAAAGATAGACGTTTTATGTAGAATACCCCGAATTGGTTATTTAATTCATATAAATAAGACATTACTATCTATCTAACGTTGATCAATAATATACTCAGTACATACAGTGCTGGACAAAAGTATTGGCACAGCATGGTTGTTGCGGTATAAGTGCTTATAACTACTAAACAAATTGATTTGAAGGAAAAACTTTTTGACATATTCATTTATTATCTATTCTAGTTTATTAGCTTCTACTATGTAATTTGTTTAGTAGTTACAAGCACTTGTACCGCAACAACCATGCTGTGCCGATACTTTTGTCCGACACTGTATAAAGAAGGCAGGTGAAACACTGATTGTACTCCATAGTACGTCATAATAAAAACACAAACGTTTTCAAATATAATATACACGGAAAACAATAATTAAAATCGTATGATAAGAATAATTGATCACACCTAAATACGAAACCCAATATCAATTTCCTCAAATGCAGCTGTCAATATTCACGCGAAAGACAAAAGCAGAAATCCTGAATTGGATCGCCGTGCCCACACCCATAACTCCAACGTTAACAATAAACGAATACTAAAAACACCTATTGGACCCTGCCTCAGACCACCAGGTCCTCTCGCGAGCGCGACACAGGGCTAAACCCCGTCTAGCAAATTGAAAACAAAGCTCTCGCAATCAGTCCAACTGTCACCTCGCGCGAGCACTTGTCAGTGTCCTGAAATTCCCTTGCAACGTGAGCTATACAACGCTAACGTCAATCGTACGTTGATTCCTTCTGTCCCAGTCGGCGAGCGATAGGTGGTACCAATAGCGTGACACCGTAACTCTCAGCAGCAGCGAAGTGTGCATATGGGTACCGATAGACCCGGCGTCATAAAGCGACGCGAGAGGGTGCGACCGGGACGGGAAACGAGTGGAGAGAGAGAAAGAGAAGGAAAATAAAAAAGAAAACAATGTATTGCTTACAGGACAGCATGTGCGACGGCGTAACACGAGAGGATTATAACATCAGTGGGTAATTCTGCGCGCACAGGCCTGCAGAAGAGGGAACAAGCGTCGGCGCATGCGATGCTCATTCTATCGGGTTGTTGTATATGTTTTTCTTTTCTCCAACGGCCCCTTCCGCCCTTCCATTCACTCGTGACCCCCTGGCGACCGGGCTGTCGAGGGTGCGCGGCTGTCAGCGCGTATTATCGCCGCCCCTTTCCACCGAAACACCCGACATGGCTGCAGCCCGCCTAACGCCGGCGAGTATTGGAATATGAAGTAGTCCGGTCGAGGGCCAACTGTCTCCTCTAATCATAACTAGCTGGAAGCTAATCCGTCGCCACTGAACCCGACACGCACACACCAGACGTCCCTGTGTCGCTCGTCAGGCACTTTTTCGAGAGAAAGAGCAACCCCTTAGAGCCGGGACCCGGTAATCGGTCCCGCCGCCTAGCGGCGGCCGATTGATATGTCACGAGCTAGGTCGACAGAGGGCGGGACAGGCTAGCTATTAATTACGAGCGATTGAAGGTGCGTCTGTTTAGAGCCAGGCTCAATGAGGCAGCTAAGAGTAGCTAGGCTGTGCGAGTGGACCTGTTATTGGGATTCGAGAGGGGGATTTTGGTGAAGGCAGGTAGTTCGGGGTAACTTGGCAGTTTGATTCGTAAATCATCTGATGGAGGCTGAGTAACTGGGACAAGTTGTAACTTTAAACCTACCGTGGCTTAACCCTTTGCACTCGACGATTTTTTAGCTAGAGAAGAGTAAAAGCTGACGATACTTTTCTTTAGCAATAAACAAAGAGTTGTATAATAATAGAATTGTAGAATTATTTGATTTCGATCGATTAATTAATGTCGATCTTCCAAATTTTATGAAATGGTGACTGAAGGTCATCTCAGAGTGCAAAGGGTTAAATGGTCGTTTCTAAAACTTTGATTACAAACTCCGTGTAACCAATCTTTTAATATCTTCCATTATTCCAGTTTCTTTTTTAACCGGTCATTCGGCACTGACAGCTTCGATGTTAACCTCTCGAGGTTAGGAAGATATGTAGATCTGACAAGCTTTATCTTTTAAGAATTTATTCGAAACGTAAATACGTAATGTTGTAGTGATAGAGTCTGTCATATGGGGTGTATTTTTGTCGTGCTGTTACACCGAGTGCTTTTATATTTATTTTCTTATTCGCTACCTACAAGTTGGTATAAATAAGTGACATCTTGTGCAAGTTCTTCCATATCTGAGTGATGCTTATTTTATTTTCCTCTCGCTGAAATGCGCAAGGGGATGTCTTGAGGAGTTATTCCTCATCACGAAAATTTGTATGTCTTTAATACGTCACAGAATTTTAATAATCGATTAATATACAGCATAAAAATATCCCGCGTAAAATTGAAAATATAAATATCGTTGCCACGAATCAGAAGACCCATATTACAACTGTAATAATAAAAATCCTTAAAAATCCTTTAAAAAGGGTAACCTGACTAGCAAAAATGAATAAAAATCTAGAAAATCGTACAAATCTAGCTAAAATTCTAGATGTATGGAAGATCTCTCGTTCTGGTTCATTAACCAGAAAGGTGTGCATGGGTAAACAGGGCGAATAGATCTGACTTGTCTGCAAGATATCGTAGCATTAATAAAGTAGATCGACCGGGAGTAGGAACGGTGGAGGAGGAACACTGATTCACCTCGTTGTTGCATAATTCATCGATACGTATAAAAGCAAAGGCGCTTAAGCTCTGTCACTGCGATGACAGAGGCGACGAATGCAATGGACGAACACGAACAGCCGATAATACCGATACTTTTGTCGGTACTCCCAGGGATTCGGCAAATACGCTAATAAAATGCAGCGGGATGTGCGCGTGGATTAGAATCGGCCGAATCGTATCTACACCCCCTTAACCTATAATAACATGAATGATAGCCAGCAAGGGGAACGTGTCCTTGCTGCAGGATGTAATAATTCTGCACGGTCGAGTTGATCCGTCTACAACTCGTGCTGTCCGGGATTCCGCAGAGTCAATAGAACCGGAGGATAATATGATCCCTTGAGCCAGGTACTTTGCTGGTTAATTTTTCTAATAGCAATTTTATCACTGACGATGAATAGGCGATGAAACTGTTTGCTTACTTGGAACATTAGTCAAGCAATTCTTTGCAACATGGAAAATTAAGTTAAACGTGACTCTGTCGATGAACTAGGCATTAAACCTGGTCCAGTGCGACTCTACGTCAATTTCATTAGTGTATACATAAGAGTATACCCAAAAATTTCGAGTTCCGCTTTTAAATTATTGTGAAAATTTGATATGTCTGCTTATACAGCGCTATAACTCCAGAAAAGTAGGAAACGTTTGTACCGACTGAGGGAATCGGTTGGACCAAGAACCTAACCTCAAATTCGCCGAATCGAAGTAAAAATTATAGTTTATCGAGGTTCGTTCGACCACCAGCAAACGATATCGCGTGATATTCGTGGCGAGTGAATGGAAACGAAAATGAAACCATCTGCGGGTCGTAGTCGCATGCACCGGTTAGGCCAACGACTCGGAAGAAGCGCGGGAAGATCCGATCTTGCGATCTTCACGCACGTCTGGCCATTACTGCCCTGCCTATGCATCATCGCTCGCCCTCCCTCAAGATTCCGATCTATCATTGAATGTTTGCGGGGGTTCGAGCAAATACATTGAATTTATTTATTATCCTCCCTCCGAACGCCTTATGGAGGCCGCAGCAGCCGAGCAATCGCTACCCCAGCGCCGCCATTAGCTAACCATATGATTATTTCATAGCTAGGGAGCAGGGGTGCATATCTTTAGACGAAAGATTTCGTGGTGCAACGGGAGTGCGTATTCGAGAGAAACGGAGAACCAGAAGCTGGCTAATCGAACGCATTAATTTACATATTCATGGAGAAGCGTATTTTCCTGATAACAGTGACGATCAGACGAATATTCATTAGTTCGCCGAGCCGTCGCTAGATGGACTTTCGCGTAAGCGTTTACAGGATTAGGTAATAGGCGGTTTGCGTGTGTTTGTATTGATTTGCACACACTTAGAGCAGCTTATGGTTATTTGATTTTAGGGGTATACAAGGATTACCGCTAATGACGGTTCATTTTGGTTTATTAGCGGCTTCGGCAAGGGATACGTGATGTACATGGGTGTTGTATTTTCGGACGAGTAATAAATTCTATTAACGATATCTTTTTAGGTATCGAGAGTATGCTTGGTCACGAGTATCGGGCTAAATGGTCAATTTCGGTTCACTTATGCAAAGACGAGCTATATACGTATGAACCATTGGAAACTAATTATAGAAACAATTTACTTCCACTTAGGCTCTTTAAATAGACATTTCATTAAGATCGTCTTTGGCCGTGTATTTTTAGCAACTGAAATGTAAAAATATACGTATTCTTTTAAAGCGTCGTGCGAAGACAATTAAACCATAATCAAATTACCGAATAGCACTCTCCAAACAAAAATTCTTTCCGGTAAGAAAATTTTGAAAAATTTTCAGTAAAAGTTTAAGCCTTTAAAAAACTTCGGTGGAAATAAATACAGCTGGCTTCAAAGTATTTTATTA